TCTTTTTTTCTACATTTAGCCCTGCTTCGGACAAGCAGGGCTAAATATAAAAGCAGAGGAGCCATTTTAAACGAGATATTATACAGCCACTGAAATCACCTGTATGCAGGCCTGCTTGTGACTTGTCCGGACCACCTCCATGGTCTGCCCCTCCTCCGGTTTCCTTCTTTCTCTGCCGTGGTTTTCGAGGTCCCCTGCTGTCAGGAACCGGATCTGAACCCAGAGCCTCTGGTGTAGCTGGCAGTGGTTCTACATGCGGAGCCACCTAAGAACCTTCGATAGCTCCTTGCCTGATCTCCTGTGTAATCCTCAGTTATACCTAATCTCTGCTGAACTCTGAACTCCATGCTCCTCCCTTGAACTTCCTATTTAAGCCATGGCTTTGCACTTAGTCTTTGCCAGATTATTGTGCTCCTGCCAGTATCTTGCTTCCTTGCTCCTGTGATACAATCCTCTTATACTGCTACCCGTGTACCGACCTTTGGCTGCTGATTCACCGACTACTCTCATCGTCTTCTGCTTCATACTCGATACCTTTGGCTGCTGACCTCGGCTTGTTCACTGACTACGCTTCTGCCTGCTCCTATACTTCTACCGTCTGCTTGTGTACCAAACCCGGTCTGTTATACCACAAATTTGCCTGCTGTTTCAGCTACTGGACTCTGAGCCTGATCCCAGATCGTGACACCTGCTCTTCTGGGGGACCCCTGACCACGGCAAGGCAGTTTAGGATGGAGAGCGGGGAGCAAAGTGGAGAACCTCTGTTCTTTGCTCCGTGATCAGTGAAACAGGATCGTTGTACTCGCAGCCCTCCTGTGTCTGCTGTCACAACCTAAGCTGTACAGAAGATAGAGCACATGTGTGCTCTATCTTCTTTATTGGAGGGCAGGCTCATAAAGAGAGCCTGTCACCTCTGAATGCTACCACCCAGGGGCTTCTTAGCCCCTGGGTGATAGCAATAAAGTTAAGTGAAAAAAAGTATAAAATTAAATAAAAATAGAAAAATTAAAAATTTATAAAATGTAAGAAATAAAAATGTAGTAAAAAAATAAAAAAATAAAAATGAAAAAGAAAATTAAAAATTGATAAAAGTAAAAAATAATAAAATAAAAATTAATAATAATAATAAATCCGCAAAGCCCAACCTGTATGGGGTGCCATAATTTTAACGGATGGCCCTGCCCCCTGGGACTGCACACATGCACTACACTGGTAACTGCCAAGGTGCCGACATTTTTTTATGGGGATGGAGTGGGGGGCCCTTCATGGTTTCTTGTTACGTCTCTGGGTGTTACAAAATGTTCAGTTTTTTCTTAAACTATATCACTGTACTAGCATATTGGAAAACAGTCATTCTGTTGCTCAACGATGCTCCTGGTATTTGGGCGGGCCCTTGACATCCAATACAGTGTAGGACTGCCAGTGCTGCATTGTATGTGATGCATGGCAGTGGCAGGCAACTGTTCGAGCAGTGAAGAGGAGTGGCGTTAGAATCAGTCAAACAACTGTTTTTTTTACACGTATCTAACAGATAAGCCAAAACACTTTCAATGGTATATTTAACAGACCAAAAGATAGCAAATAACAGAAGTTAATTGACCACAACTTACTTTCTCAAATTCTCCAGTCCATACAGTGAGAACTAATGCTGGCAAAAGCATGAATGTGGCATTGTAAAAAAGGACTCCAAATGTTCCCAATTCCTGTAACATTACACAATAAAGTGAGAGGGTATTAGAACTGAAGTGATATTAAACCTTAACTTTTTTTTATTTTTATAATTAAGTGTGCCAGAGGTACTTTAAATACCCTTTTTTTCCTTTACACTTTTTGATTTCCTCATTTTCTAGTTAACCCAGAACTGCTAGCCCCCAACCACATGAGGGTGTCTCCATCAGGTAGCTGGCTGCTGAGGAGACAACTGTGCGTGGTTGCTCCCCGCTGTGCCTGCACCTAGCTGTGTGATCCATAGAGACGCAGCGTGCAGCAAGCCATGTCCCCCCGCTCTTACAATCACACTTTGATTGACCCCCGTACCCTCCCGCAAGACCAGAAGGTTCGGGGAATGCCAAGTATCCTCCTGGTCCCAGCAGAGGAGACGAGTGGCCACAGATAAGTGTGGGGGGATGGGGGTAATAGAAAAGTACTAGATTTTTTTTACCTCAATGCAAAGAATGCATTAAGGTAAAAAGCACCATGTCTTTAGTAATACTTTAGGATATTTTAGATATTTTTTCATTTGGGATACAGTGGAGAAGGTTTACAAAATCTGTAAAGTTTTTAAATACCGACTGTGTCAGTATTGGAAAGATTTCCTCCTATGGGGATCACACAGGGAGCAAGGGCAAATCTCCTCAATGGGGACACAGACAGCAATAAAAACCAGTCAGTCATTCTAAATCTTGATCACTCTACACAAAGTAGAAGTATTGGCTGGAGTTTCACTTTCAAACTATATCTACGCTACTAAAAAAAAGTAAAAAGTGAGGAAAAATGGGTTTTAATTAATCAAATAATAAATATACTGTTACGCAGGTGGCAAGTATAGAACATTCAGAGATCTAATCTCCAGTTTTCTGCCAAAAATATTTAAGAAAAGGTGATATAATTAACTCGTATAAATGTCCCCTATAGAAGATATGACTGAAAACTGTTTGCTAGTTATCAGAATCTTTTACTTCAGTACATTAGGTTCCAAATCCATAACAAGTATAAAGCTAGCAGGCCGCCAGCACCTTAGTTATTAAGTAGCATTTGCACAAGGAAATCCACAATGGCAGCCCCAATATTCCTTATAGCGATGGTTTACTTGTAAGCTCCGAGTTACTCTAGTCAGAGCCTACACAGGGCTGAGGACTCTATTTGCACCCCCATGTGATAGTGCTGGGCCAATCCGCAAGGGCCATTGCTGTCACATGAGAGAAATGGGAGTAGTCACTCCTCCTTACACAGGTGTACAGGGTGTAGGAGTCCTGCTGAATTGGCATGAGTGACCCTGCAAGCAACACCCAGCTCATCAAAAGTCGATTAAAAAAATCAATTGAGCCCAATGGAAAATGTTCGGCTGAACAGCGACTACATACTCTCAGATTCAGTCACTGTTCTTGTATTCAGGCAGCCACAGACAGCAAAATCTGGCAGTGAGATTCCTCCGTGCTGTTTAAGGTGGATGGGGCAATCAATTGATTTTTTCTCATCCTGTGGACTGAACAAGAGAAAATCAAGCCATCTACGGCCATTTCTGGTGCCCTGAGTTTGAACAGAATGGCAGGAAAGCTAGAGTAAGGTGAGAATGTGCTGCTGGGAGATCATACATTAAAGAGACTATGTCCCTTTGCCGATTCAAATTCTCCAGGGCTATGGAAGTTAACACCAAAAACAACTTGTATTGGCAAGTTTTACAACCTAGAGGGAGGGAGCGGTAATGTCGTTCTCCCCTACTCACGACCGTGCTCAGGTTTAGTGACTGGACACTAGGCTGCCCCTATAGCTGGAAGCACTGGGTATTGTCCCTAGATTAGGTTGAGGAAGCAGTGGTAGGTAATTGCTGGAGAGGTGAGTATTAGTGGGTTGGGGAGGGGGCCCTTTTCACAGACAATGTCAGTTCAGTCTAAATGGGTAAAGTGACAGGGTCTCTGAAAGTTAACTTTTGGCTTTGTCATGCATAGACAAAAACAGGTTTTCACCACAACAGCCAGAAAGGCATCTCATGAGATTAGAAGGGGCAGAAAGTTTTCATTACTGAAAGCTTTATGTAACTATGAACCAAAAAAAAAAAAAAAAATAACTTTCAAGGGACATGTGCTATTTTAGGTACAATCGATTTTTAAAAATGTGGTTGGGTATTTTCCTGAAAGAGCAAACTATTAAGGGTTACCTCCATTCTAAAAATACACAGCACATTGATCCACAGGTTTATAAGGATTGTCACTTGGGGTCATGAAGGATATTTTCCTGTTAAACTGGATCATGCTTAATACATCTTTTCGCCTTTATTAGGATCCTCTAGGGGTTCTGAGGATAAAAGGTGTTTGTTTTTTAAATTAAATGAAAGGACATTTATCTTTTTCAGCCTAAAATCATATAAGAACCGTCAGTTAAAGGCAAGAATACGAACACACCTTTGTAAATTTGAAGTTCAGTCATATAAATAAATTATTATTGATCTCCGTTTTTATTTCTATATATATTAGTAAGATATATATTTTAATTGAAATAATTACCTTAGGGTTAATTTTTTCTTTGGTATAAACCCCATATGAAGCTGTGAACAAGTCATTCAACAACACAATGCAGTATCCTTCCAAATTAAAAGTAAGATCAAAACTGAAAAGAAACATTGACATTCTGACCATTTTCAATGGCAGGTATTTAAGAAATAGCAGTTAATACACACACATACATACACACACACACACACACACACACACACACACACACAATTACCAGTCTAATATAAAACATATAAAAATGCAAACAACTATAATAAAAGGAAAGAGCAATGTGCAAACAACAGCAGTAACTGACAGCAACTAGCCATCATGTTTCACTGATGGCTGTAAACTGAAATCTGTCTGTTATCCATTACTGACCTTTACACATTATTATTATGGTTTACACTGTTTTCTCAAAAACCTCTATAACTAATAAGATTGTAGGGCTAGTAAGTATAAATTGTCCATCTTACTAATGGCTCACATCTATAAAGGGAGGTCTTACTAAGCCATAATGAGGTGGCATAGGGAGTGGAGTTCTTGACCATAGTAGTTGGTCAAAATGTACATAACAGGGCATCATTGAATTCGTGCTCTTGGGCACTCTACAAGGTACATAGCCATTCATGCAGCTGTAAGGGCTTGCTGTATATGTATGGTTGTAGATTAGCCTACAGTTGTTATTACTGACTGATCTGTTTTTATTTTGGCACTGCCAGATGGCAATTGCTTTGTGCATGGGCTCCTTCGGATGTAAAAAAAGACAATGGTCAGAGGCATTCCTTATAAAGAGGCAGCTTGAGGTGACATCTCATTGGGTCACGCAGGGGAAGACAGAAGGGTGCCTGTTCACTTTCCTGCCAGAGCATCCCAGGTTGCTAAGGAATCTTAGCAACCTGGGATGCTCTGGCCAGCATCCTGCCAGCTTGTGGCAACCAGTGGCGTCACTGGTTGCCAGGAGCTGAACGGGACGCTCTGGCTGGCGTCCCTCTCAGCTCGTGGAAATCTGTGATGTCAGTGAGCTGGGCGGAATGTCCGAGGTAACAACCACAACACGCCCCCACCATCGCCCACACCCCCCACCCGATCACAGGGGAATCTCAGGGATTTGCCTATAGATATTGATCCCCAGAGATAACACAGCTGTGGACATTCACACTGATGCCATGCCAGCCTTAATTTCTATGGAGCGTCTGTAAAATGTATAGATCACTCACAATCAGAATGAGCATACCTCTGACTGATATCTGAATGTAATGCCAGCTTGAAGCCTAAAAAATTTAAATGAGGTGTTTAAATAAAATTAAGTTTGCTCATCCAATTGATTACTTCTGATAGTAGTTTTAATAACCTGCAATCACAAACTATAAAACGGCACATTTAAGCAGAAGAAAGAGAAGAGTTATTAAGAAAAACAATAAAGCTTTCATGGAAAATAAGAAGCATTATGAAGCAAAAAAGTAGCACAGGCTAACGATCTGTAAAACAGATAAATCAGTGCATAAAATAGCAATTGAATGATTGGTGCTTTGCAATATTGTATTCAAGCAAAAGAAATCTCAGCAATCCATAAATGACTAACTGGCCTTTGGTGACAGCACAGACAAAAGCCCATTATTAATTCATACCTGGCTGCTATAAAAGCGCCGATCATCATGGCTGATACACTTAAAGCAACAGATAGTGAGTATCTTTTCCTGCAAGAAAAAGAATGAATAAATATTATCTAGCACTACAAATAAAATAAAGTAGTTATGAATACATTTACAAACAAAATAGATTTTAAAATGATGATTCAGAGACACAAATAGGAACTCTTTTTTTGTCTGTGCGCTGCCTTTAATGTATTTTTTCTACTTAATAGAATGTACTATAGCTGCATTTTTCTATTGCTTGGGTTGAGGTACACTTACACTACAGGGTTTCTGATACTAATAATAGGAAGAAGAATGTAGAAATGAATGACTAAAAAAAGCTCCATCAGAAGAGAACGCTGTGTGGGTATAGGGGGATTAATAATGAATAAGATACATACTCTCTTATAATGTCAGCCCTCCCGACCAGATTTTGTTCTTGAACTATTTTTGATAACATTAAATAGCACAATCTGCCACTCGATGTCTGGGCAGAGCTCAGCTCTTCAAAACTAATCCCAAAGTATAGACCCATGCTGGGTGAAGCATGTCATTTCTTGACTGGCACAGACCTCTGCTGTGAGCTTAGTTCTGAAGAGGCAAGCTGAGCTTGGTTTGGTGGCAGGGCATGGAGATGACACAAATATTACAAAAAAGCTTATATGCACAGAATCTAAAGTGCTGACTCTTCAGAGTGGGACTTTTCATATCACAAAGTGGTTTGCTGGGAGAGCAAAAAAGGTCATAATTTGGATGCATACACATGTAGATGTGATTGCCATGCATTTAAAGTCCGATCTTTGATTAACTTTGAAGCAAGAGAGTCATTGTTTACCTTACATGGCGGGACTCATAATTATGCATAACAAACCCAGTCTTTCAGATAACTGACTCTTGTATACCTCCCACTTGTCCCTCATTTAAAGGGATGTGAAACCAAACTACCTCTGTCCCTCTTTCCTCAATTGCCCTTCTTTCTGGTCTGATGTACAGCTATCTATGAAAAGGTTATTTAACTACCAAAAAGTCTAATTCTGCACTAAAACTTTTATCCCATCTCTTAATTATCTTGTTTGCTATTTTGAAAAGCCAGAATAAAGGAAGAGTAATGGTGGGAAAAAAAACAATTCTGGGTTAAACAAATCATTTTTGACATATAAATTCTTAATGGTCCTCATATCTGGAGGCATGCAAGTGGTGTGTTCCTTGCCTCAATACATTGTGCTGGAAGATGCCCCTTTTTCTTATCTCAGATAAAGTTTGTAGATATAGTACTGTACAGTGAGTATTGTCACCCTAGGACAGGAATAAAGGAATACAAATCCCCCAAAAACTAGTAAGCTGCAACATATACATTTTTTAGGGTTTATATACACTTCAAGTGTTAGTCTTTAAATGTTAGGAGTCAGGGCATGGGGGGTGATGGGGTATGTTCACCTTTTTGTGGTGCTGTAAGTCCAGAGCCAACTGCTACTGGGGCCAGATTCTTGGCTCCCAAACCTAATTTTTATCATTGGACAATAAAATGGTAGTGGACAGGGCTTACCTATGAAGTCAGGCACCTAGGTGGAACTAAATTGGATATAGGCACAGTGGGGGCTCTTCCTGCCAGTTATGGTAAGTGTAGGCATTGCGTGGTGGCTTCTCTTTGGGAGACTTGTACTTCTAAAACATTAAAATGAAGTACAAGTTAGATACCATTGCAGTGCCGGCTGGATGGCATAAGTAAGTTACTGACTGGTTTTAATTCTTGTCTAGAATTGTTCTTATAAGTACATTATCATAGCTTTGGATACATTTTATCCTTGAAGTTTATGTAGAGACCACTATTTTCCACATATAACACATCCAACACAAATATTGAAGAACAGGTGAAGCTTATTCCACGAATAATCAATACAGCATCAAATATCAATGTTACTGTAAAAATAAGGCTGTTGATTCATTGACTGAACAGGAGATGTCACTGTTTCCCTTTGCAGAAAGCACCTTATGGTATCTATCATCTCACAAGTAAAATTTCATTACACAAGTCACTTTCTTTATAATGTGTTCTGAAACGTGTTTAATATTAATTCTGAATGTTTAAACACGTTCTGAAACAAATGCCTGTATAGAATGGCATCACAATTTACAGTTCTAATTCTGCCCAAGATAGATTTGTTCAAAGAGATGCAAATATCACCCTCAATATTTGAAAAGTACAATACCGCAATACTAAAATGCTGATTTGAATGAATGTGGTCCTAGTCTAGAATTGACGCACTGACAATTTAAAATGATTATATTTCCACTGAGTAAGGAAAGAACTACGTGACTCTTTCAAACAACTCCAAAAAAAAGGAAGTTCAGGATTGTTAGTGTAATTCCACATCACGGTTACAAGTTTCACCCCAATGAAGAAAGTAGCTGACGAAGCAAATAACAAAAGGCCAAATTCCAAGAATGCAGAAATACAAATGAAGAATAGATCGTGTTTACGTCTGCTCCATAGCAATAAAGCTGAAGTTTATTCTGCTGATGTTTTGCCGTTGTTGGGCCCTCTGTTCCTCCTTCATTAACCTACTAATGACATTTTTTACATGTAATATTTCTGTTTTCATTACATGCCTTAATTTAGATCCAGTGATGTCATCACTAGTTCTCGGTTTCTCTATGACTAGTGGGAGAGGCCAGCAGTGCTGTACATAGCTTCCTGAAAATATCACCGCACACTGCCTCTGTACTCCTATCAAAAACCCTCAGCCCTAATGCAAGCAGAGGGATGGCTCTTGGGAGGAGTTATGCAAACATCAACAGCTTTGATGGGTGGGTATACATGTATTAATAAAGCAATTCCAGCCAACAAGGGAAGGCATTCGGTGAGCTACTAATGGCATCCAGTGAACACAGCAACTGTGGTAAAGTCAGAAAGTTCATTCAGTTTTGCTTAATCTGAGCTCTGCATAATTCCAGACAGGATAAGCACACATAGCTACATAAGGGTTAGATAAGAGGACAGCAAACTTCCTGAAGCCTGTGGGGTGTAGCTTCATCTATTTTACATCATTACTGACATTCAAACTTCAAAAGGCAGGTTTGAATCTCATTGGTAGCTGTGAGAAAGTTGTATTTTTTTTTTTAGTTCAGGCTTTCTGAATGTGGTGTACAGGAAGCATGCTTGATTGACTGGTTCAGCATCACCAGAAGCTGTGTACCAGGATCAACAGTTTCACAACAAAATGGGCTAGGTTGTCATGGTGAACCACAGCTATGTCTGGATGGCAAACTTAACTACTCAGCAGACAGGCTATGGATTTTGTTATGCTTCCCAGTGTTTAATTTTCAGTTATGTGTATCGTAAATTCAATATTCTGCTAAATATGATTGACTGCTTTTTATTTAATTGTGGCAAAAGGCTAAATACTTTGACAGCTATCAGATATAACACTAACATGTATATAACCAATTTGGAAACATTAATACAACATCTTAATACACCCTAAACTACATTTTACAATGAAAGTCAGTCCTGTCTTGGTCTTAACTGGCTGCAGTTCAAATAATGCAAGTTTTGGGAGAGACTGAGCAGCAGCATTAAAGTCACTTCTTTCTGTATATTCAAAGTAGAAGCCTCAGCAGCATGTAAGACATGCACAGGTACAATTAAAGTACAACTAAAGGCTCTGAAATAACGGTCTAAAAAAGTATCCAGCTACTATGTGATGCACAAGCTTCATAAGTAAAACACAAAACGTCATTAACCATCCCTGACCAAGCCAAATGCTCCTTCATTTGTGTCTCACACACTCCTCGCAGGCACTACAGCTCACAGTGGGAGGTGTGAGTAACAGAGGCCATGCTGTCAATCTAGAAAGCAGTGGACAGGACTAGGAAAGGGCAGCTGCTGATTGACAAGTTACAGGCTTGTGAACTAGCAGTGACAATCCTGATATCCGCACCCATGCAAAAAAATGTTATCCCACTATAGTGCACGTAGGCACAATCTACATGAAAATGCAACTCTGCTCTGAATTCAGGAGTAATGCAGTATTATTGCCACAACATTACAGGAAGATGCATTGTGTGGACTTCACTGGCAGGATCAACAGGTATTTGGGACTTTGCAGGGGGACTAAGAGAAAAGAAAGTAGACTGACCCTAGAGTATGCGTGACTGACATGGAAAAGACATTGCACTTAGCATAAAAATGCGGCTTAATGTGTCCATTTTTAAACATTACAAGGACAAAAATAATACAGTGCCGAACAAGAGTACAATAAATATAAAAAATAAAGAGTATAATAAATATTACTTTTTGTATGACATGCAAGTATTTATATTGCATGTCTTACAAAAATGGTAGCCTGGGGGTACTAATAAAAATATGATTACCTTAGTATGATCATCTCAAGGATTAAAGTAAATAAGATACTAAATTTTCGCAGGACACTGAACATCGGCAAGCTGCAGAAGAGAATCAAAAATGTACTTATAACTTTTACGTACTATACATATATATCAAGCAGGTAAATGAAATATTACTGCTGGTTATATTTGGAGGTGTATTTTATTGGAAGAAGACACCAAAGAATCTGCAGCATTATGAAATTACATTTATAAAGTGTTTTTTTTTTTGCTAAATTCACATAGATACCATTATAATCCTATTTTAGCAGTGTGGTTCCTTTAGATCTTAGTACTACATAATTCTAGCAAAGGCTCTGGATGCAGGTTGAGATTATTATGCTGCAAAACAGTAAGGGATGATTTATAAACAGTTTGCATAGCAGAAAGGTATGCAAATAAGATTTGCAGCACACAAAGATCACAAGATCACATGGAGAAAAGATCTAATGGCTTGCAGATATGCAACTTATTATTTTCATTACCTGAGCTTCTGTGTACTTAATAATCCTGTTAAATGATTTCCGATGTACAGCAAAGGCAAGGGAAATAGCTGAAAAACAAAGTGATGTGAAATGAAGCCAGTTCTATTTTAACATAAAACTAAAAATTATAAAAGACCAATATGTATGTATCAAAATAAATTCATGACATTTTTAAATACACCTAGTATAAGCACTAAATCTGTCCTTGCATGGGATTCCTGCAATCTCCGGCACAGGAAGACTGAAAGTAACAAGCCTTATGATGGGGAGGAACCTTACCACATAATCCAGTTTTTCATTATTGCACAGTGCTGTTAATCTAACAGTGGAAGCTTGCTGGTGGAAGGAGAGATTAAAAAGAGAGCAGAATGATGACCTCACCAATGTGCTGATGCTTCTTCGCTGTGCAATCAGCAGACTAGGGGCTGGGAAGTGACCAGTCAGGAATGCTTAAACATCTATCTAAAACAGCTATCTGAATGATAAATTCTTTATCAGATAAAACAGCAAATAAAAAAATGCATATCCATAAAATATATATCTATAGATATATATCTCTCTATATATAGAGATATATATATAAAAATAAATATGAAAAAGCTTTACTCCCATGCGACAGAAGACAGGGTATATCTCACCTCGCCAGGGGCCCTTTTCTCCTACCTTTTCTATCTTCCAGCCCCATTGCCTCGGGAAGCCTTTCTTGAGTATCCAATACTTTCATGAGCGTTGGATGTCCATGACCCCCGCTGAGCCCTGTAATGACAAGGTGGGGGGAAGGAACCAGCACAGGGCAGGTGAAATGGGCATTCAACACTCACAGAAGTGTCCAATGACAAAGAGTCATCCGGAGGCTGCATTGCTGGAACAGAGGGGAGGTAGAGGAAACAGGATGGACCTGACAGAGTGTCTTTAAACTAGTGAGCTAAATTGCAGCTGTTCACACAGGTTCATTCCATCAATTAACGGGGTCTCAGATATCTGCTGGTCATAACAAGTTGTAGGATATGTAATGGTGCATACAATTAATTTACATTTATGACTTCAAATGCAAACTGAATGTCAAACTTGTCATTTTATGTTAGGGGAATGAACGTTTGTTAAAAGCATTACTGGCATTGGGTGGGAGATTTATCAAGCAAGGTACAGATAGAATGATGTTACTTTAATGTAAGACAGTCTGATTTGTGCTAGAAATTCTCCCCAAACTCAATATAAACCTTAAAAATGCATGCAAGTACCTTAACTATAAACAAAAATGTATCTTATTTGTGTATCACTCAGCTGTAGATCCTCAAATCATCTCTGAATTGGTGCTGACACTGTCCTTCCTTCTGGAGGGTGGCTACTTTTGTTCCCCATGGTCCCTGTGTGTGTTGTAAAGTAGCCACTGCTCCAAGCTCACTCCCATGATGGACTGCAATCTCAGGATTAATTTACTAATTTGTATTGAGATTGTAGTCTATCACGGGAGAGAGCTTGGCGTGGTAACAACTTTACAACACACACAGGGACCATGGGGAAGAAAATTAGCCACCCTCCAGAAGGAAGGACAGTGTCAGCACCAATTCAGAGATGATTTGAGGATCTACAGCCGAGTGATAGTTAGTTAAGGTACTTGAATTAATTTTCAAGATTTTACTCCTGAGTATAGTGTCACTTTAATAAAGGTCTCCTCAAACAGATATAGAATCACAAAACCTTTGGGATAGTTTATCAGGAATTTTCCAGACAGCATACAAAATTTCTGAAATTAGCGTATGTATGGTCCCTGTGTGTGTTGTAAAGTAGCCACCACTCCAAACTCACTCCGGTGATAAGACTACAATCTTATGTTTAGTTTACTACTTTGTATTGAGATTGTAGTCTATCACTGGAGCGAGCTTGGAGTGGTGACTACTTTACAGCACACAGGGTTTCAATAATCGATTATAATCGATTATGTCGATTAGTTGTTGCAGCCCTAGCTGAATGATACACAAATAAGATACATTTTTGTTAATAGTGAAGGTACTTGAATGCATTTTTAGGATTTAACTCCTGAGTTTAGTGTCACTTTTGCCGTTGAAAGTTTTATATGGAAGCCTATGTATGAATGTCAGATAAACACTAAGAAATTTGCAGATACTTGCAGATACAGGGCTTGCAGCTTTTTCCAACACAGAGCAGACTGTCCTAAAGACAATATGTAAGGCCATACAGGTCACGTGAACAATGAGTACAGGTACAATTACTGTCAGGCAATGCTTTCTGTATGTTAAATTCAAACAAAACTCCCAAAAGGACACCAAGTTGCCCTGTGTACAAGTAGTCCTGTTCACTAATTGAATCCACTACTTTAAAAGGAGCTATTACCAACATATAAATTGTTATCAATATTATACCACAGGATTTATATAGCACCAACAGTTTGTGCAGCGCTTTACAATACAAGGAAGACATTATAATCACAACACAATTCAAGACAAGATGGTAAGGAGGGCCCTGCCCGTAAGGGCTTACAATCTAAAAGGGAGGGGGAAGTGATACATGAGGAGGTAGCTGTGTGGGGAATTATTTGAGAACGTGATGGTTCAGTGGTTAGGTTGAGGTGGGATAGGCACCTTTCAAAGCACCGTTCCCACTTCACCTAAAACAAGAAAAATATTTTAGCTACTTTATGTATTATTGCCAAGATTTACTTCTCATAAAAAAA